AAAAAAAAAAAAGAAATTTCAAAGTTAGAGAAGATTTCTTAGTTAAAACTATCACAAAATGGAATATGGAAGTATTTTATAAAAACTTTCTCAACTATTCCATTTTTAATTTAATTTTTCAACATATGGATAGATTTCAGTGAAATTTAGTAAAATGCCCAATATGCATAGGCACATAAAATAAATTTGAAATCATTAGTTTAGTCATAGAGAGTTCACTTTTTGCATTATTAAATAATGTTAATAAAAAAGAACAAAAAAAAAAACACAAAGAAAGCGAAGCAATTGATACATTTTATTTTTTCGAAGTAAAATAAAATTTGGGAAAAAATTTCAAACTTAAGAAAGACTTCTTAATCAAAGTAAAATTATGATAAAAATGAATATACCTTTGAAATATTCGTTATTAATAGTAATTAGTAAAGAAATTATGATTAATGCTTATATGATTAATGGTTATTATCAAATAATGAACTTGACAAAAGAAAAAAAAAACATTTAAAATCTTTTTTTTAAGAAGTTTGATAAAAATTAATACATAATAAATATGAAAAATATGAGACTCAATGAGAAATTTAATATGGAAATTTAATACGAAAAATTTCAACACACCTCTTTCATCTTTTCACAATATCTTATCTTTCCTTATCACCAATATTGAAATCATATCTATTATAGACTAATCCTCATACATATCACAATTGAAGGATGAAATATCTTGTATAAACATATGTAAAATTAGTGAAGGTATTTTTGAAACCTTTCAAATATTTCATATCAAACTTGTAAATTAGACCATACAAAAGACAACATAAATATAGAGAAATGCAATGAGAGGAATTGATGAAGTATAGTAATTAATCACTAGTAAATGAGGCATAATGTTACCAGGGGATCGCTTAATTAGTTATTAATTAGTGTTAATTGGCCTGTATAGTCAGTGAACAACTAACGATTTTTTTTTTGCCTATTCCGAGCTTTATACCAAAGAAAAATATTTGAGAAAATGAAAAATGATGGAAGGACAAAATGAATTCCGGATTCTTCCTCCCATTCAAACTAATTTGAAGTAAAGTGCTTTCAATCACTGTTCTATTTGCTTTTTTTTTTTTTTATTTTTTATTTTTTATTTTTTAAAATGATAGTATAACAACTGTTTAACTGTTCAATTGTTCAGTTGTTCCACAAATTCTCAACACCTGTTAGAGTTTTTAGTATCAATTCTTGAGATGAAATGAAATATAATGGAAGCAGAAAGCAGACATATGTAATATGATCTTTTTTATTAATTATATTTATATCAAAATATGATTGATAAATAATCATAATCAGATAAATAATCAAATCAACTGATAAATGATGCTACTGCTACATGGATATTGCACTAGCTAATATCAAGCATGCAAATAATTAACGGAAGCTATTGATAAATTCAAAAAACGCGCTACTGCTACATCTGTATGTGATCAGGTAATTAATATTAATTGGTTTCGTTTTTTTTCATTAAGTTTCTTTGCTAATTATGTTTACAACAAATTAAGCTGATTAATAATCAATGGAAATTTCCAAACTTGAAAGGATGCATCCTTTTTTTTTTTGGCCAACTAAGGTCAAGCAATTCGGTTTCCCTTTAATATTATTATACTCATACACGACAAAAAGGCTAACACTTAATATATGATGACAGCTTCTAAAAACAAAAAAAAAAAAAAGCATTAAGAAAATTTCAGGTGTAAAATACAATTGTAAACAACTATTCTCTTAAAACAAATGACAAATTGTCAGACAAAATTTTCGTCAATTCAAACTTACAAATAATTTTCTTTGATAGCTAATTATTATCACTTCAATGATTGTTTAATAGTCTATCACAAAAAAAAAATTTTCATTTTTTATAACTTGAAATATCTACAGTTGTTTTTTTTTTTTTAAATTTTCATTTGATGAAAATCCATACTTTATGTCCAGACAACCATTATGACATGCTATTTTAAAAGCTAGACTTGTCCTCTTGTTGATTCTTTCATAAGAGATTTTACTCATGACAATTATTTAAATTTATATGCAACTTCAAGGATTGTTTGTGTTTTGGCATTAAAAAAAATGTCATATGTTAACGAATTGAAAAATTGAAATGGTTGTTGAACTTTTGGTAACTAATGAAATTGTTCATTATTTATTACTCAATGCAATAAAGTTCTTTTTCTCAATGATAGTAATAAATGATGATAAAATGATAGAAGATTATGAGAGAAAAAAAGAAAAAAAAAAAACGGACATTCATTACGGTCACTCATTAAACCGTTCCGTTCTTTTTTTTTTTTTTTTGTTTTGTTTATTTATGAAATTAACGAATAATAGCATTATTTAAGTGGAAAATATTTACAAAATTATTAATGAAAAGAAGAGGAAATAATAAAAGAAAACAAATACTATCCAAAATACAAAACAAATAAATACTTTTAGCGCTTTTGTCGTATATGAAAAATTTCAAAAAGCGCTAACAATACTTTCTATATTGTTATAGTTATAGCATTGAACAATTGAATAAATGTTTATAGAATTTAAAATTAAAAAACACTAAAATAATAATGCTTAAAACAATATAATAAGCATTTAAATATCCTGAAAATGGTTGTTTTTTTTTTCTGATTAGCTATTTGAATTTAAAATTGACCACTTGAAAAATAGCTTCGTTCCTTCTATGTTTAATCAAATTCATTTAATTTGAAAATGAAAGAAATAACGTATGTATTTATGTGTTTTTTTTTTCCGCCCAAATAAATTTTACATTATTCAAATATTTTTAATGGAAAAAAAGAAAAGAAAGAAAGAAAAAGTTCATTTCAATGCTTTTATTGTAAAAGTTTGATAGTTGTTTGGAGGAAAATTGTGTATTTGTTAATATAAATGAACAAGGAAATCATTTAGCGGTAATGGAAGAGAGAGAGAGAGAGAGAGAAAGAGAAAGAGAAAGAGAGGTGAAATTCCCACAGGGAAAGAAAATTTCTCTTTGAAATAAAAATGATAATGGGAGTAAATGAGGAAGAGGAGAAAAGGATTGGGAAGTAATTTAATTCTATCAAAGAATAACTTCAACAAATGACAATTTCAAGTGGATAACTTGTGATATAAAAAATGTCAAATTTTTTGCCAGCAAGGAATCCTTGAGAGAGAGAGAGAACAAAAAAGAAATCTCCGAGAAATATTCAAATTTTCGTGTCAATGTTTGATGATTTTTGGTTAGCACAAAATTTTTTCGAGCATTATCTCGTTTGCATGTGAAAAAAAAAAAAAAGAACAAAAAAGCGGAATTGTCTTGCCGATTCCAGACATCATCCTTTACAATAGCTTATCGCTTGATTTAAAAAAAGAGAAAAAAGCTAGCAGGTGAAATTACGTCATGCGGCAATATTATAACGTGTGTATTACGCTGATTACGAAAGATAAGGTCCATGATAAGTTTGTCCATTTTTTTAAGCTTCGAATAAATTAATTGCTTAGAAACAATGTTTAAGCAAAAATCAGAAATGAAAAATTACATTTCTTGAAGAATTATATATTAAAAGAGAAAGCATAGTTTTCTTAGAGGTAAAGAACTAAAAAAGTTTTTTGTTGAAAATGGAACAATTTGCGCCCATCCCTTGTCATTTTGTCACCTAAATTTATCTTAAGCACCAATTTTCGGCGAGAACTACTTTTATATGACTTTTTTTTTGAAAAATAATTGATAACAACTGCTTTAAAAACAAATATTGTGTACGAATTGATTGATAATAAAACAGCAAAACAGTAATAAAAATAATGATGAAGCGAAAGATATTAATTGTTATCAAAATTGTCATCAAATTTATATTATCACTTTATCACTTTATATAATCAATCATACACTTAAGTAAAAAAAAAGCAAAACAAGCGGTATAGGAGATATATCAATATCACAAAAGTAAGCTAAATTCGGAATTTGAATAAAAACTAGCAAACATCGAGTAGTATTTGAGAGAAAGATTGCAATGGAGAAAAAGGAATTGAAGGAAATTAAAAAAAAAAAGTCATTTCCTTTTTTTTATAAATACAGTAAACTGTTATTTGATTTAAGTCTTAAAAACGAATAATAATAATGATTAACTCAAAAGAGCCAACCTGGAATATCTAACCAAAATTATGCGTAATTATTTTAACTGAAATGAATTCAAAATAAATACATTAAACAGGAATTTAATCGAGTTAAAAAAAAGAAAGGAAAATGTGAAAGAAAATCATTTAAAAAATGTAATAATCATTATTTTTGCCTTTAAAAGTTTTTTTCCCAAATCATTTCTCTTAATTAGCCGTTAATGGATGCTTCAATCACTTAATTATCAATTAATTCGTTATTGAAATCAAAATTTGTTTGTAAAATTTGGGATCGATAGAATTTTTTTAACTTTTACATGAAAAATAAACAATCTGATATGTTACAATTCAATAAAATATGAAATTTAAAAATTAAAATCAAATCAAAAAATGGGTATGAGTGCAGGTAATGAGTAAAATGAGTAATAAATCAATTACTGATTTTGGTTAATTTTAGCAATCAGTTAGAAAGGTGATAAAAGAGGTTGATAAAAACAAAAACAAAAAGAAAATGGATCATATATATTAATTAATTTCTTTTATTTATTTATTTATTTTTTCCTAAATTTAAACTGAGCAAATTTGAGACCTCTTGAGTGATATGATCACAATTACATTGAATAACCGGATATTTCTGTGATTATTGCTTTTTCATATGTCAGTTAGTGATTTCGGTTTTGTCTCACAGTAGTGTTTGTCGGTTGACAATTATTTAACTGTCCTAAGATGCTTGACTTTCACATTTATCTTCTGAGGTTTATATTGTTACAGTAAGCATTTGAAATCATTAACAAAAATTATTTTATATTCATTTCAAATTCACACCTAATTCTAATAATATTGATTTGTCACAGGACAATGTATCATGTTCACTCTCACAAATCCATACTCTTTCTATGAATCAATTAAATTCATACTTTTACTATTTCTATGACTATGAATCACGTTAATCACATTGATCATGTTGATCACGCTGATCATGCTGATCATGCTGATCACGTTGATCACTTTCATCCATTTAGACTGTAAAAAAAATTCACCATACACTTAGCTTATTTCAAGCATTAGAAATTGCTAAAATGTTCATTTACAGATTTCTGACAATAGTTACTATCAGGTTGATGCCAGAAATGCCTATTTTTTTGAAGTGGATTATTGATTTAAGGTGCTTGAAAAAAATTTTAGAAGATTGCTTGGACAATAAATACCACAGCTATAGTTTGTTAATGTATCGCAACATAAGCAGAAATATCGTCGGATAACGTAGATAATGATTACTGTGACAATAAGTACATTTAGCTATCCAATTACAAATGTACTGAAATTGTCATCTTTCAAGGATTACTATCAAAAATTGATACATCCAGTGTTTTCTTTAATTATTAAATTCCCATTCCTATCACAATTCCTATTCTTTTAAATTTGCATCAATTTTACATGACATATTTTATTTATTTCATTTTATTTTTATTTTTAATTAATTTTACGTAGCTGATCGATTAAAAAAATCTTTTTTTTAGATGGATTTAATTTAAATATAATAACTAATGAAGTCAGCAACGAATAACTGAAGAGCAATTAATTAGTCTTTCAGAAGTTTCGCAATGTCTTCTCGAGATTTGATAATTTCAATAATATGTCAACCCGGAAATTCATCAAGTTGTCATATAAATCCATCAAAAAAAGTGGTTTAGATTTTCAGGTAAATAATCTTTCTAAAAATGACATCTAAAAAAATGTTTTTAACTATTTTTGGTATTGAAATAAAAATGAATTTCAAGTTTCCAATGGTATTATATATAACACAACTCTCTGGATTGGCTACAATTTGCATACCTTAATATTGGAGGTTTGAGACAATCCTTGAAAATACTATGACATAAACTTTCATGATGAACTAAACTTGAAGAGACATTGATCAAACGCTTGGTTGCTTGATTAATTGGCCAAAATTAATTAATTAATTCACCCATCCATCCAACCATCTTTCCGTCTGCCACAAATATCAGATATCGTCGGTTCGTCAGATTTTCCCTCTTTCATTTCTTTTTTTGCTAATTTAATTTATCGTTTCTTCATTTTTTGAAATTATATTCGCATCGTCCCCTAAACTTTTTTCCTTTTATCATTCATGTTCCCTAAACTTCTTTCCTTTTATCATTCACGTTCCCTAAACTTCTTTCCTTTTATCATTCGCGTTCCCTAAACTTCTTTCCTTTTATCATTCACGTTCCCTAAACTTCTTTCCTTTTATCATTCACGCTCATTATCGCCCATATGAAAAGAATGGCATTTGGCTTTATAAAATGTCCCTTATGGAACGTAACCATACCCACTTTTGACAAATATACGATCTTTATAATATTCATTACTCAGCAAAACGTTGCAATTTTTTGAGCAAAATAATGATAATGATATTCACATTTCGGCATATTCAGTATTTCCGGCCCGGAAATACTGAATGAAATTGAATGAAATACTGAATGGAAAATACTGAATGAAATTTATCTCGTCTTTGAACATGAAAATTTAGAATTTAATCCGGTCCCTTCTCCCCCCCCCCCCCTCAAAAAAAAGAAAAACCATTTGTGCTGATGTCGCCGTTGATGACCACTATAAGCCCATAAATGGAATACGATTTTGTTCACAAATAGATCATTTTCTATTTTATCATCCTTCACAGTCTTTTATTTTATTTTTTTTTTTGGTTAAACATCTTTGGAATTAATTTAGAAAATTGGACATTGACGATATTATTCATTGCTTTACAAATTGTTTGAAATTTTTCGAAAACTTTTGTTTTTTCTGAAAATTTTCGTCTCAAATTGTACGATGAAATATAAACTAATTTTCTTTCAAAATACCAAAATATAATAATAGCAATTTTTAATTGATATCATTGGTATATAAATATTTTGGATACGGTTGTAATAACCGGTATTGAAATCATGGACATGGATATATAAATATTTTGTTCTGAAGATGTTCATTGTTCTGCTTATAGGGTTTCACGATTTTGATCATTGTTTAAAGGGAAAAATTTCTTTTAATTTCAAAATAAATTATGGTAATTTTACATCAATTATATCACCATTCCATTTCCAAATAGGATTTCAGGAAACGTTCATGCACTTCCGTATAGACCGCATCACAATAGCGAATTTCATAGCGAAGTTGCTGGAAAAAAAATTCGTTTCATTAAAAAATCATTTTTTATCAAAATTATCACATTTTTAATTTAAAAGTTGCATATTAATGCAGAAATTCAACAAAACAATTTATCGATTGATCGTATCCAGTAGAGTTGAACCATAAGAAGTGGTTTATTAAATCTTAATAATATAATTTATTATTTCCTTGAAATAATAATATTTTGAATATAATTTTTTATTTCAAAACAAAATCATACATCTCTTTCATCATTTACACCCACTTGATCTCCTTTCAATTTATCAAATTCACCAATAGTTTTGTAAATAAGATTGATAGCATTGTTAAAAACTATCAATAATTTTGCTTCAAGAACAATTCGATGACCATATGGTACTTTACGATTCTGCAATATTTTTAGTACCATTTGAACAATTGAACTAATTTTTAGATAATTTGCAAAATTTTGTAACTTTAATTTTATCAAGTAATTAAATTAATTTCATTTTTTTGCCTATTTTTCATATCTTGTGAAAATATTCTCACAAATATCCCCTGTTGAAAATAATCCTTAATTGTAATTTGGCTAAAATTTCACTTTAAACATAACTTCTTACTTCATGCTCCTCAAAAATTTCGAATGATTGTGTTGCTTTATCTAATAATTCTCCAAGAATTTCTAAACGATCCTCCTCTAGTGAACGATCTTCATATTTTACATTTGACAGTAAATCTTCAGTTTCTTTGATACGTGCCTCTGATTCCTTCCAACGACGAGCAATATCCTGTATTTTAGTAATCTCTAGATGAAATTAACCTCTAGATATCAAATGAAACAATTTCGTCAATTAATTCATATCAATTATTGCTTTAAAAATTTCCCAAACATTTACAATTTTTTAATTTGGAAAAATTGTTTTATTCAAGTTAAATTAACAAAATAAAAAGAAAATCTCTTCACTTTATAATAAATTTTTGCAATAGCATCCGGTACATCTTTCATATTTTTAAATGATTCTAAAGATCTTTTGGCAATCTCACGAAGTAATTCCATCTCTTCAAGCTCTTCCGATGTTATCGGCAGATTATCTGGCAATTTCAAATTTATTAAAATTAGAAATTTTTTTAATTTTTTATCCAATCTGTGCATTTTTTTTTAAATAAAAGCTTACAGGTGCTTCAGTCATGACGAAGAAAAGCGAGTTAACTTTTGAATTTAGCCACAAAAACTATTTGATATTCAAACCTTCAATTTCATTTGCATCATTTTTCTTTTCATTTTTATCATATGTAAGCAATTTTTTAACCATATCATCAGCGATTTTGCTTACTTCCATTTCATCCACCTCTATACAATCATTATTAAAGCTTTCATCAGTTATTCGTACAGTTTCTGACTTTCCTCTTACCTGAAAGCATTATTTGTTCATCAAATCATAATAAGCTTACAGGTGCTTCAGTCATTATCAATCTTCTACTTATGTAAATTAATTAATCGTATCATAAATGAGTATGATGTAGAAAAAAACGTTAAAAGTTGGAAATGAGAAAGAAGTGATCATGGATGAATTATTATCGAACTATTTGGTCAAAACAGCAAACTTGGCTCAAGCAAGCTAATAGCTGCACTCATTGAACATTTACACTTAATATTGTTTTCTTATTACCTGATTAGAAAAAAAAAAAGAAAAAACGGATATTTTTAGATTTGATCTATAAACTATGTACATTTTTCAAAATCTTGACAATATAAGGTTAGTATTTGTACTACATATAGATCATACTGATTTTGCTGAAATTTTGGTCATCTGTTGGTCACCAGCTTCCACAGACTCTTCTTGTGGTACAACATTAACCATTGTTGCGCTATTATCAGTCATCTAAGAAATAGATTATTAGAAACTATTGACTGAATTTGTTGAACAAAATGTATCTTATAGTCTTGAAACACTGAACAGTGTAAAGTCAAGTCTTTAAATAAAATTACTAATCAATAAATTGTTTGAAAAATGGTAATCCCAAAACTTTTATTTAAATTATTTTTAATTAAGCCACGAGTGATATTTAGGCCATCTTAACATTTATTGATTAGTTTACGCAACAGTTTCATTTCGATTTTTCAGATATGAAAGTTCGGAAACACATATAATCTCAGTAATTAATCGTTATCATTTCCGTAAAATGTTGTAATACCTAGATTGGAATTTTGGAAGTAAAAGGAAATGATTCAACCAACTTTCGCAGCTTTTGGGAATAATAATGTTTCGAGATAAAAAATTGAAATATTTAAAAAAATTTCTCTTCCAAAATAACATCATTTTTGCATAATTGCATCCCGTTAGATGATAAGATGGAAAGTAACAAAAACTTAAAATAGTTGATCACTTCTCATAAATCGAGTAGCTTCAGTTTTCAAAAACCAGTTGATATCTTTAGTTGAAATATTTCATTTGAATTAAACTGATCATTAATCGTTATTTCATAAAACATTTCAATCTATCATATTTGGAAGGATATGCAGATAATGAAAAATATAATAAGTGTTAGGATTTGATTTTATTAAACAGACAAGGATAGTGTTTTACAGTCTGCAGAACACTATAATTGTCCGTTTAATAGAACCAGAATGGGAATACGCGTAGTTAACGAAATTTATGTCAATTTTCCTGTAAAGTTCTATCAAACTTCATCATATGTTTTTTATAAACTTTCTAGAATATCCTACAAATACTAGACAGTTAAAGTTTACTGGATACTGTACTGGTAAAAAGAATGCCATTGAAGTCTTAAATTTTAGATTCTTTTAGATTCAAGCTCTCGACCATAAATTTAGCATCAGCGTAATATTCATGCAATAATTCTCTATATTGCCCCTTCCATCATTCGAGTATGTTTACTTCAAAAAAAAGCGAGAAAGAAGCTCCATTTTGGATTTGCAACGTTATCTTTATGTCATTTATAATAATCCGCACTTCGAATTGCTTTCGAAGAAATTAAACACGAAGTCAGCATTGATTAATATGATAAATCTCTCATGTGAAGAAAAAAATATTGCATCTTTTCCTTTTTTAATATTGTTACATTTGAAAGGTAAGGAAATTGCGCATCACTGAAAGCCACTCTTCTTCCTATTATAGAAAAAAAAAGAAACGAAAAAGTCATTTGAATCGCTCTATAGTGTGCTTTTCTCCAAAATTCAATTTATTCATCTAAAATGATCCTTTTATTAGAGAATCCGAAAACAATCCCCTGAAACAGTCAATAACAACTAAGTTAGGATATATTACGAACATTCATAAAATATTAACATTGCACGCAGTATTTAGAACATCTTACTTATTATTTTATTTTTTTACACCCAATATCTTAAAAAAAATTAGAACTATTTCTGAAATATACATTAGGGAGCGAAACGTCTAACCAATAGATAGATTAAACGGAACGCTTTGACAGATGGCACCGCGGGCTCTTCTTAGATACGATTGATTATGCCGCGTTAACTTTACGCCAGCTCTACCATATGATGAATGATCGATCAATCCAAGGATTACGGGCCATTCTTCAAATTGATAGTATTATTTGGCGAGTAAAAAGATAAACAGCAAAAGCATATTATGACAAACAGCAAAAGCAAATTTTATGCAAAAATACTTTACCGTGCATATAAAAGACAAAATACGAAATTACAACCAGAACTAGTTATTCTCTAATACTTACAAAACAAATTAAAGCATAAAACTATTGAAATGAGAAGCCAGAATGTGAAGATAAATTCGAAGTAACTAGGAGACGGATATACGCTATAAGAAAGTATCATTTTTATAAAAGCTTCTCTTAATACCATTCCTTATCCTTGGGCTGCAAAACTTCGATAATATTAGTGACGTTTCGCAAAAAATATAGAATAAAATCATGGCTTTGATGCAGTAGACAGTAATCAATTTGTTAAATATTGAATATTCGCTAACATTCAGAAGCTGGAGATGCTGTGGTATCATTGCACGCGCCAATCAAGTTTGGATCGTCCGTTTCATTCACTGGTTCTATTGAAAACAGTGATCCAAAATGAAAATGCTGCACTACTGGAAACTTCTTCAGGACCTAAAAATCAAATTACAAATTTACAGAATGAAGGCAAATAGTTAAATTCAGCTTTGGAAATTCAGAAAATTTTCCATCCTAAGTTTCACTTTGCATTTTTTTAAACTTGGGGCATATTCCCATCGATCATACACTGCCCTCAGCATAATTTTACGATCTCATTTCATAAAATTTTCAACCATTACTCCAGATTTTTTGATCAATAAATATATTTTACCGCTCAAAAAATAGATGCGTAAAAATGGGAGAAAGTTACAATGATTAAGAATGATTACCTCAGCTTCGTACATTTTGAACATGCCAGAATTGATCTTTTCCCAAGTTTGTACAGCACTAATATTCCACAGCTGATTTGAATGCTCATGAAAAGGACCACTTTTTGTCTACAAATTGAAAATGATGTTGGAGTTTCAAAACAAGATCGCTCAAAACAGAAAAAGTGTTGTGCGTCTACAAATTTTTATTCTGAAACACGCAATCATCTTTACACTATTTTTCAAGCTATTTAACAACTGTAGCGCAATTTATAAAGCTTCATAGTTCAAAGAAAAAAAAATCAAAATATAAAAGACGCTTGACATCTCAAACCATATCACTGCTCAAAAACGATTGTTAGTATTGTTGATTTTCGGGTTCTTCTACCATTTATTCCAGAAATACCCTGTTTTTTCATGTAATTAAATCTTACTTTATTGATATGCTGGATAGCATCAAAAAATAAATTTCTTGATGCATGCATTTCAACAATGTCAGGCTTCAAGTAAGACTCTGGAACCAATCGTTTATTTCCTATAAAAAATGACACTGTTAAGAGTAAAGAAAATCCCATCAAGAATAAAAAAATCTGATAATAAAGATAAAACTTGAATTGGTTTATGACCTCTTTTACATAACTGCTTACCGATAAGCTGGGAACTGCCCCACACAAAAGGTATGAACTGAAAGTCATCTAGTGCATGTACACCCCGACTTCCAGCTGGTTCCATTCTATAAGTAGATTGAAGGCATCGTACTAGCCGTATATATCTGAAAAGGGATAAGAAGAATGCAGTGGAGAATACCAATAAACTAAAATTAAAATTACTTAGAAAATATATAAATATACTATTTAAAAAATATATACTTAAGAAATGTGGAAGAAAAAACACTAGATTTATCCACTCAGAAACTTACAGCGTAATAAAGTAAATATGCAGCGCAATAATATTACATCATAAAATATTCGAAAATACACTTAAATTGATGTGAGCTCTAGAAAGGCAATATATACAATTCAAAAGTCAATCATAACAAACAAAATAAACGGTAAGATGGATCATGCACATTAATAATCTACAATCCATTAATATAATCACCGATAAACTTACTTTAGAAATAATCGAAGGACAAGTGAGCGATTGTCTGATTGCTCAAACACGCCCAGTTTGCGAAGGCAAAGCATAAATATTAGAAAGGAAGCTTCATGTCCTAAAAGATTCTTGAATGCACCATGGAATAAATATGGGTCAACAAGGAACACTAGCTTGTTTCAATCACTATAGATCACTTCGATTTAAAATAAAAGCATGAAACCTGATCCATAATCAATTCGCGTTGCATTGCCGAATGAATCCAAAAAGTATGGAAGTAATTCCACGACGAATCCCTTTTTTTCTGCAGTTAAAAGACCATAAATTATATCATCAGCCTCCTAAAAAGGAAATTAAGTCAAATCAAAGCTCTGACTTCACAGTTTACTGACAACAAATAATGTAACGAAAAATCATTCATCTGCTTGAAGACCACTTAAATTCATAAATTCATGAAAATGTAAAACCTCTGTCAGACGCTGATGCCACTTACGAAACGCAACATTCCCAAAACGTTGTGTTCCCATATCTTCTGGAGGATATTCCAGTGTCCATTTCTAAATAAATATTCCTTCCCATTTGATACGTAATAACAATACTCAATGTATAACACAGATTTCTGAACAGTATTTACTAGCATCTTTATGAAAGCTTATCTCATATCACTATTAAGTGATAGATGCAAACGCGTGTAATCTGTCGTTATTAAAATGATAAGGGAAATTTGGGCATATGACAACTGTTATTAATGATTTCATTTATGAAAACATAACCAAGCGTCATATAAAAATAAAAATAGAATACTACTTCACAAGAACACAAACAAGAGAAGTCTCTTTACAAAGCGCCAATTAGAATTCACCTTCGAAAATAAAAGTATTAAGGAACCTGGAGTTCGTCCAAAATATCAATTGCATCCATGACTTTTGGACTTATAGGGATATCTTCCGTTGATTGAACACCTTTCACTGCATCATTCAGTTCATTTAACATTGCCATATATTCCATATACGCCTGAAAAAATCATTTCAACTAACACACTAACATTAAAGGTTCAACTTACTTCACATATAATTATATTGCTGGATTGCTCATCCGTTATTTTGGGAACAAGATGAAACCACAATACACTTAAATATGAGATGATATCGAGTGCTAAAATTCACTCATCAAATGGTAATCGGCTTTGTTAATTTACTGTGTAATTACTTTCAATATTGCAAGAACGATCTCATTAAAAATATGTCGAATTCGAAACTCAGTAATTTGCAGCGTAAACTGCACTACTCATCATCGACTTGAGATTTTCAAACTAAAACTAATGCTTTTGCTCTGCAGTTAGCCATCAACTAAAAAAAAGTCAAAAACCACTATGCCCACATTAAGTTAACATCGTTTACCACTTAAAAGAGCATATCACCGCCTCATTCGTCTTCTTTACCCAATCCATCGATGAAGTTTTTCGATTTTTATCTTGAGCAAATTTGCTATTAACAACCAAGGTCCACACTTATACTGCCGCAAATAAGCAAATTTCGTCTCAACTCTTCTGAGGATATGAATCCAAAAATTTGAACAACCTGGAAAATTACTCCAGAATGGTAAGAGGTAAAAACAGAATTCTACAGAGTAGAAGAACAGAGTTCTTCTGTAGAACTTTTGTAGAACTCTATTCTTACTTCTTACCATCCTGGTCTCGCCATTCTCACAGAGTTCTACTCTGTAAAACCCTGTCCTTACTTCTCACTATTCCAGAGCAATTTTCCATTTCCACTCAGAGTTGCATTTCTGATGAATAAAGAAGAATAGCCCAAACTAGACAAATAAATGTATTCACCTTTGAGTGGCACCATTTTGTAAGATCAAAAACGGATAAGATATAACGTTCTGGAGGACAACACATATCCTTGACCGATCTACCTGGAACACCATTCATCGATTCCGGTTTTTGTGCGGAGTATTCCCAAATTCGATGGAGTACCTACGACTGGTATAATAATTATGCTCGGTGAACCTGCAAATAATGAGTCGCCGTCGTGTATTCTGCAAATCATGAAAAACTTATTCACAGTAACTACTAGCTCATAACGAAGTATGCTTCATAATTAACCTATACGATGAAGAGAGAACTACATTTTCGAAAATTAACGCTTTTTTCTACTGTAACAAAAATTTGTTGTAACAAGAAGAAAAGAATAAAACATGATGATAAACATTGTCCTTTCAGGAATATCAAACAATCAAACAAGCCAAATAATTAAGGCGAACCAGAGCGAACAATCACGAGGTGTTTCTCCCAATTGGAACGAACAACCAAAGGTGCTTTCCCTAACCGGAACAAACAATCAAGGATGCTTCTCTCAACCGGAACGAACAATCAAGGATGCTTCTCTCAACCGGAACAAACAATCAAGGATGCTTCTCTCAACCGGAACGAACAATCAAGGATGCTTCCCTCAACC